ACTACATTACATTGTTGCCGTCACTTCTTAGCGGCTTATATATACAAGAATACCGCATATATAGTAACCTCTCGAGGCTTCACGAATTTTCGAGAATATGACGTGTTACTACCGTCACGTGACCCCCGCTGTCGTAACACTATATTAGTGTTAGAAAATACTTCTGATATATACACTTTATTAACTCAGGCTCAAAAAATATTGTTCCAATTTATAAGACAGTACATTTGATCAATTATTTTAAATTATTTATTCAAACACTTAATCATTTCTATACACGCCTTTTAACCTAAACAGTTATCGTAGAATAACCATAGAACCACTAAAATTGAATTGATAACCAATAACTCACATCGTACTACCTTGATGAATAATAAAGCATGAAGTAAGGCCACGCCTCGTAATAATGACGTAACAAATTATGCAAATTGACTTTATTTGTTTAGTTAGAGCAGGTCCTGCGAAAACTAGCGCACTATGGAGGGGACAACCATCTATTTAGGGGGAAATATTTTGGTAAAGGTAATCGAACTTAGTTAACTCGTATTCACTCCTATAATACACCACTGTAGTCACTATAAACAAAGAAATAAATAAATGACAACGATATATTATGAAACATTCACGCAGCAAGAAATACCAAATTATACTTCTTTCCGGAAAAGTTTATTACTTTTCAATTATTATTAACGTATTAGTAACCGTTACGTCTCAGCTATTTAAAATGAATATAATCATGCAGTGAACAGGCCCTCTACAGGGCACAAATACCAATACATACAAATTACTGTAAGGTAACAAACTTACATATAATGGTTACTTTCAACTGATTGGGCAATATTGCATATATATATATATGTATTTGTGTGTAAAATAGCTCTTGCACCATTGGGTATATTATTGTCTGTAAATACACTTTGTATTTACTTTCATAAATAAGTAAATGAATTCTGTATGTCAAATGGAACTAAACAGAAAGCCAACAGCTTTAAATTGTATGTACTACCAACAGTACGGTATTGCAGGTTAGCACTGTAATATGGTTCCGCCCTCGAAATGTGTAGATTAGAAATCGTCACTAAACGCGACTAAGGTTACCCTACAAAACAGTTTAATGACAGATGTAGCAAGTACATTAAACTCTAGTAATTTTAAAGAAATAAATACTTTTTTTTAATTATTACCACTTCTGTGCTTAACTTTAATTTATTAATGATTTGTCATTGAGATTTTATCAATTTGGAATTTGAAATTAGGTTGGCACTGGATCTAAGATGAACGGTCAACCCTTCCATCCAAGGCCCTTCAGTGTTCCCGAATACGAGACATCTTTAGAAGAAAGGGATTTTATTTTACATATGTTGGATATGGGTAGATTTCGGTCAGTGAGTGATCGTGTTAATAGGTAATTTGCTGTCTGCTGCTAGGTGGCGTGTAACACAGTTACCAAATGGCAAAAACGTGTGTATTGGATCTATGTTTATTGAACATATATCATTTGTGTCCTCCATCAATGCCAACTCCCACACTATAACATCGACAAAACATATCAGTGCTTAATAGAACATACGCTCTTTCAGTATCATAATACCAGGCCTTAGATTTGCTCCTTCGGTTAGGTGTTTGGATAAGAAATCCTTCCCCATCTCTCGTATAGTCCTGACCAACCACACTTTTACATCCATCTTTTTTGGGCCTCTTAATCACAGCCCGTGAGGATAATATTTTTAGACAGCTAATATCTTAAGATTTAGATTTTTCTCGGACATGATAAAGGGAAATACCACTGAATTATAGGAGAATATTGTTAGTCAACATCAAATCTATTGTAAACAAACTAATATGGTGTACTATACAATTAACAACACTAAATTCTCACAAAATTCAAGTCTTTCTGACAATTTCAAAAATTTCATAACTGTGTATTATTATTAATTGATTACTATGAAAAGTAATTAGGTGTTGGTTTTATTCTTCTTAGACAGAGGAGTTGCAAACTCTTTTGGTCAAATAGGAAAAAACATTTTCTTTTAGAATACTAATTTGGATACTTAAAATAAAGATGTGTCACACTTTGTTCATCTCGACATCAAACTTAACACTCACGTCAACACATACAAACTG